CTCCTACTTCCCGAATTCGAGCTTCGAACGACTGAAACCAGCAAGTTGTGATGGACCGAAGCCTGCTATTCTGAAGGAACTTACAATGGCATTGTTGAATTCGATGATGCTGCCTTGATCGTAAGAATGTTGTGGCACCTGATCCAACTCAGCCTGCATCGCGGACACGTCGAAAGACGTCGTTGGCCCTGAAAAGCCACAAATATGGTTTCATTCCTTGGGATCTTCAAGAGAACTGTATTTCAACGGATTCAGCTAACTGGAGGAAAAAATTCCATTTTTCCCTCGAAATCTTCGTGGGTATGTTTTGCAAGCCGGGTATGTTCAGAATCAGATCAGCAATAGTATTCTGCACAATGAAAAATGCCGTTGTTGTCTATTTCAGCTTTCAAAGCCGTACCGCCCGCTTAAAGGCTAAGTATGGGAACGATCTGATGGATTATTGCTCTTGCAAGTAACATTGGAGATGTGAGGCGTAACGCCAACAGTGGGAAAAGGGAAGAAACCTCGACAGGAACGAAAATATGACTTTCTATCTGATAAAAGCAAAACGAAATAGCACTGATTTGTGGGCGGTCTGAATGGTGTTAGGCGGGGTCAATGCATCCTGGTGGTCTCAGCGCTTCGACCTTATTGAAAACGAAGAATGCGAATTTACAAAAAGATTGAATGTGGATTCGCGGAAGGATAGAATTCTGTCCCTCTTTCGCTTGTTAACGAATGAGATAGATTTGTTCTGTTAGTTTCATAAGATGGCTTCAAACAAAATCAAAAGATCCGGCCATTTCGCTCGAAAATAAAATTATGAATACGATAATATCGCTAGTAAAGAAAAATGTAAAGAGACTTAAAAAGAACGAATTTAGGAGCCTCCTCCCCCATGAGGTTTAAAGTGCTATGATGAAGAGACACTGGTTTCCAAGGAGAGAGGACAGACGAGAGAATGTGGCGGCGATTGAGATGCTGGTACCAACGTATTGGTAAGGGGAGGGGGAGCTGGCGGCAGGGGTCCAGCTCCTTGACCGGAACCAGAAATATTAACACATTCACGACGGCGCCCCTTTTCCACTTTTCGGTCGCGTGGGACGGACGCGATTTTGTGGGCGCCGCCGCCTCACCACATAACCGCAGATTTTGTTTTGTAAATGAACAAAAACATGAATGTCACAAAATAATTTCTGCAATGTCCAATGCGTAAAGATTATCTAAACATATAACAGTAGGATTTCGATCAGAACGACGAATAGTGGTTACGAAAAGAGAGCATTTATTCACTTTCCCCGTGAAGGAATTTGAAAGCATTTTACACTCGATTACGAGATTACCCACCTATCTTTCCATTCATAGCGCTGGCGGCAAATATAAGCTGGCAGCTCATATGGCTTGCGGCGATGTGCTACATTCTCTAAGTCCTCACCCATGCGCCTTTTAACACGTTATCTCTGAAAACAAAATATTTGTAGCCGTTGTGTGTCGGTATTACAACATGCATCTTAGATCTGGGAGGGACGCACGAAACGGAGTGTGAAGCCGCTCGAAGCCTTCTCATTCGAAAACAATGTTGTTCCGAAGGCTATTCGTGATACAGGACGAACTTTGTAGCAATTGGCAAGTTTTGAGCTGAAGGAGAGAACTATATGGCCGGCTACCCTGCTATGCAGGCAGTTGCATCGGCCCTCGTCAAATATAGAACCCTGAGGGCTTTCCCTCTTTAGACCACATGGTCAAAACGAAAGAAAGGAGCACGTCCACTGAGTGAGCGCCGAGAGCTATAAATGTCTTGATATTCCATTTTCCTCGACGCTCCGTACAAAGAAGCAATGATAAGATTTTAAATGTGCTTGAATCTTACAATATTGATTAGTCTATGCAGTCCTCCCGACGGGTTTCCTCCCCCTCCATGGCATTACATTTCCCATGCGTCATTATTTTTTGCAACTTTGATAATTGAGAACACCTTTCAGTGAATTGAAATAAATAAAATGCGTATGTGGGCGAACCGTGAACGAAAACAGTTGAGTCCGTGGGATAAAAGCAATTCGCATGGCCAAGGATTGGAACCGAATCCCGTTCCCGTTCAGAGCATCTTTCCAGAATTAGTCAAAGGTAAATTCTATGGTTGGGTCATGGGTCTAGTCCCTTCAGCGAATAAGATTGAAGGGTCTTGAAGTGATTGAAGAGTTCAGGAGGGTCACCTTCGCGACACAGCGCGCCTAAAAGGGGCGCTAGGGCTCAGGATTTGCTACAGCGGACACTCTGAATAAGCACGCCCAGCGATGTGGTAACTGTGCCTCTCTTCACAACAAGCTGTCTTTTCTCCGTCCGTCCCTCGACTCGGTACCCAACTCTCTCCTAGGCTGCATTCCAGGCTCTGCCAGTGGCCAGGCAGAGAGCCTTATTCACGGTACTTTTCACGGTGGTCTCATTTCTTTCCTTCTTCACTAGCGAATCAATTGATCAATTGAATAGCATCGTCTCTTCTATTTGTACCACATTTCCACGCCTCTGCTTTCGCGGAGTGCAGAACGTGGGAAGGCAAAAACACCAACTTGCACAATCTACCGTCCATCCTTATAAACGGCGAATGTACTCTGCACAGCAACTTGATACTTTGTCAGCCCATATGAGCTGCAGCCTATCGTGCGGGGTTCATCTTGCAACCCATATTTGAACTGCGCCTGTTAAGCCTTTTTTGCGCCCTCTGTAATTTATTTAATAGGTTGTTTAATAAGCTTACTGCTGCTCAACATGGCCATAAAATATGACTCTTCGTAAGCTCCAAAGTGCACATTTCAATGATATGATAACGAGTAGCAATTCTTATTTGGTAAAGGAAGAGATTATTTAGTGATTATTTGTTCCTAATTGAGGAGCTAGCAAATAAGGCATAGTTTGTGGTGTGACGACATTCAATAAACAAATTGGAAATGCTGAATAGGGTGATTGAATGGCGGAAAACCGTGATGAAATCCGATGAGGCGAGAGGAGATGCGATCGTCCAGCCAGATGTAAACTGTCGGTTGAGCGTCAACTGCGACTCGCCGTCAATAATAATCCAGTCATGGATTATCAGCGAAATTGCATTACCATGAGTGGATGGAACGAAACGGCAAAGCCTATGGAGCTACACGTGAATTCCGCAGCTGTTCGCATGGATGGAGCAGAGCCGCTCTGCAGATGCGATCACTGATGGATTGACAGTGAGGTGCCCTTTGGTGGAAACTGATATGTTGTAAACCACGCTTGTGCGCCCATTTCAGGATCCCAAAAAAGTTCAACGTATTGCAAACTTTTCGCTTCGTAGAACCTCAGCATTGATGTTTATTTTTTTATGGCGGTAAATTGGGCCTTTGTGGGAGTCGACCTGGTCGAAACGTGGGGCCGCTGAATAAAATTTCCACCTAAAACCTCTACGGCACAAGAAACAAATGAAGAAAAGTAATTTTAGGACTATGGTTGTTGGAAGCTGGGTCAAGGAGTTGCTGGTAAATCACGGACAAGATGCTATCGAGGGAATCCTAGTCGTGATTTTTAAAAGGGTATCGTAATTGGAACTTCCACAGAGAGATCGTGGGGTGGGCGGGGAAGAGTTCCTATCTGAAGCCAGGTGCCGCTAAAGTAAATGTTCAGGTCTGGAGGTGGTGGAGGCTGGCCCAGGACTGTGGCAATTATCCACAACTGCCTGAGCGTATCGTATAGTGTAATTTTTCGAAAGGTAATTTGGGATTTTTGGTAATGAGATGGTGGCATGCATGAGATATTTTTTTTTTTCTTATTGAACTCAGGTATCGTTTAGGATAGGCAATTCTTTTATTGAAAAAAGTGGATAAGTGGCAAAATAGGTGAGGAGAGTTGAGTCAGGGTCAACCGTCCGTTCGAACTGTTCGAACGAAGGGGTCGCATTTTGGTCGGAAGGGGGTCGCAATTTCGAGGACTGCCAGCCACAGGCGCGTGCGTGGCGTATCCGAGGGCAAGATTGTTTGTGCAGACCGCATTAGATTCGATTTATTATGCACAGAGAGCAGTTTTAGGCAAATACGGTGTTTTCCTACGCAGTAAAGAAGTGTTGAATGCATCCTTATGAAAGGTTTGACTTCTCGGGGCTGAAAATAAAGTTCTTCAAAGACCTAATTTTTTTGGGGACGCTTCTAGAGAACTGTAATATACATGAGTAAGCGTAAATCTCGTAGTCTTCAAAAATGTCTTCCCCTCCCCAACAAGCTCTTTGAAGGAAGTTATTATTGCTGAAAGCTCAAAAACTCGCATGTGCTGCTCAAAAACCTATGGGAACAAAATGTTCGAACGTGTGATTTTCTCGGAAAATGAATTTTGAAAAACGGTTTGGTGCTTGTAGAAAGAGCAAATCCTGTACTTTCACCCCATGAAAAAGTGCATCACAAATAAAAGATAAAGGATAAAGCATTTGCCGTTGATCAATCCCTTTTTGGGATGCGGCACGCATTCTACTTCCATTTGTACATTCGCAGTGGCGTTTGAATGCGATGTGGCCTATACAATGACTTGCGGGGGCCAGCCGATGTTCAAGTCAGTGTTTTTTCCTCCCAGACAAGTCTGGTACCAATTAACCGACCCCGGAGGGATGGAAGGCTTGGTTGGCCCGGGCGACTCACGACCCAGGATTTGATCCCGGACCGCTCGCGTGGTGAGCGCGCCACTTGTACTGCAACCACTTCCGCCCCGCTTACAGAACTACAAATAACATATTCGAACGGAAATTTTATTAAAAGAGGTCATCACTAAACTTTTTATACTGTTTTGTATAGAGAAACATTTGAAGTTTCTAACTTTTGACAGCTTTCCAAAAGGTCGCATACGAAAGATATTATGGGCCTTCAAAGTTGAAGGTGCGCCTTCTTAGAATTTTGGGTTTTCCACTTCTAACAGTACTTTCCGGAGAGTTAGGCAATCCTTGTAGTTTTCTGGAAGCGCACCTCAGGCACAATCAAAATCTACCTCAACAAGTCAAAAAATACGTCCCAAGAAAGTTATTCCCTCTAAAATTTTTTCTTCGCCGCGTCCCGTTCTTCCAGCGCCCGGGTGATACCTGCCGCGCTCAGCATATCAACCGCGTTGCGCAGTTGCGGAGGCGAAGTGTGAGATGTCCCGCGAGAGAAGTGTTCTCATCGGCTGCGAAACCTGCGCACGTGCCGTTTAGAAACTGTGCATACGCAGGGTTTGACTCTGGCTCGAAGAGCTGACGACGTACCGCAGGCGCTTTCTGGCGACGCGGGCGGCGCAGACGCTTTCTGGCCAAGGATTCATGTTTAGACTCTAACAAAACAGGGGGTCGTAAACTGGCGCCCTGGACCCCCTCGAACCTTAGGGTCGAAAAATCAGAAAATATTTGAAGTGACGGTTTGAACCTGTTGGAGTTGATGATGGTCATAAGAAGTCACAAGGAATACCTCCTTTAAGGTACCCCTTATTTCAAGGATTTCTTCAACGTGACGACTAACACTATGGGAGAGCCATGCCATTTTTCTATCGACGGCTTTGTTCAGTAAGGGAAACCGGGAGACGTTCAGTTCTTCACCTAGGTCACGTCACCAGAGCTGCGCGATTATTGATGCCCAAGGTTAGGCATAGGCTTAAGGGCATGCAGTGAGAGGAGGTCATAAAAAAGACATTCTGTCTCCACATTCAAATGAATTTAACTACATTTTGCTAAATTCAAAGCAAGTGCTCCCGACTTCATATTGAGTCACATTCCATTTTATAAATGAAACTTGATAGGGGCAGGAAAACCCGTTACGGAAAAATGGTGCGCAGGTGGGACTCAACGGGGTCCTCGTCGGATCGTGTTTCATTACGACGATTTCTGAAAGGTTGGTTGGGAAGGAATTCGCATGTTCAGAAGGAAATCGCATGCTCGGGACTAATCTCTTTAGGATGTTATTCAACAATGAATCAATTCAATAAATAATGTAGGAACTTCAGCTGGTGCAATTACGGTAGGTCTCCTTGAGCTCGATGACGATGGCAGATGACGTCATATTCCAAAGAAGATGATGGTAGTGAAGGAAGGGCTTCCGCCAACGGTGGCAATATGTAAGGCAAGAAAATCGCTGGTGTGCAACGTGGGAGAGAATATCGTTTGTTTTTGTCCCAACCCTCCCCCAATTGAAAAACATTGCCTAAGCTTAAACCTAAGATTGGGCTTAGGCTCAGACATAGGCTCGCTACGAGTGAATCAGAGGTGCCCTAATCAGATGACCTGACGAGAAGAACCATATCAATGAATACTCGGCTCATTAAAAAAATACGTTCTGAAGAAATGGCTTGGTTGACCTTCGTGGTATGCGGACCACTGACAGGGCCTCAGAACTTCGACGCTTTATGCCTTTGGGAAAACAATGGCAGCGGTCCAAAAGCAGTAATTTACGAAGAGTGCGCACTTTAAGTGAAGTCGGAGTGGAAAGCTCAAATTATATTGGATAACACCTCATTTCAAACTCCAAAATTCCACCCGAATTTCATATGAGGCTTGGTGCTTCCACAAGAAGGTGAGTGAGAATGAAAAAGGCGGTGGACAACGTATTATCGACGACCACTAGAAATTTACGCTAAACTATACTATTTTGCTTCTTAATTCGCAAAAACGAGAATTTCGTGACAGACGGACAGACACACACAGACAGACATAGCGCATTATATACAGGGGGGGGGGCAATAAAAAAAGACATTTTCGTCTCCAGACTCAAATGGATTTAATCACACTTGGCTCAGCTCAAAAACGAGAATTTGCGAACCATTGAAAAGCAGGTTTTCAGATGTAATTGTACTGAGACACAGGGATATTGGTGTGGTTTACTTCTGTAACGCTACTGAGTACGGATCGCTTAATGGGTGAAGAAGTATCATCTAGGCAACGCAAAAGGGCAACTGATGCAGTCGCATAGCAATGAGCCACCCGCCCACGAAAACGTGACTTACATAATTGTGTGTCTAGGCGTTACTAGTAAATAGTTGCCCCATAGTGTAAGGCTGACTGACCATAAGAGAGAATAAATGAAGCAGCTACGGTCAAGGTACATTCACACAGGGTCAGCCGTTCGCACATTTTCAAGAATTTTGCGACCGCCCTCCCATTTAGGGGAAGGTTTTCTGTGTGACTCCATCACCACTAAGCCCTAGGGGACTACCCCCAAACGACACCCTTCCTCCCTACCATTATCACTGTTTCCATAGTATTTGACTCAGAGACCACCCGACACAGCAGCCCAACTCCGCCCACTTTTTCCTCTACAACGGCCGTCGGGTGAGGAGGGGCTCCGTTCCCACTATGATAATCTTGCTCAACCCCAAAATGTGGCCCTCTCCTCCCTTCCCATAATCACAAATGCGACCCCCGAGTTCGAATAGTGCGAACGGACGGTTGACCCTACATTTACATTGTGATAAGAGCTGTAGCGAAAGACTGGAAAACAACCACTCGCTCAGTAAAGTGGAAGGCCCGATTGTGTGTTACCAATAAATAGCATTTGGTGGATGGGGGGAGCTGTATAAAAAGCTTCGACCCCGTATAAACGGCTTGATCAGGTGTACAGTGAAAACCTGATTTTGCATTCAACGTCATTTCTATCTTAACTATTATATTGAAGAGACGTTTCTTTACAAACGCAAAAAAATACAAATTTTATGCGTATTTCAGCCAGTATGGACCATTGTAAGTTTGTGGAACTTTTCGAGAATATTTCCATGAGAAATTCCCACGGTAGTAGTGCGTCATATTTCCATTTACTTTTGGGATATGGGCC